TACCTTGATCTGTGCTTTTTATATCTACCTGGAGTTCAGCTTTAGAGTTGCTCTTAGTGGCTTTCAATCAAGTGACCATGTTCTCACTTACAATCCACCAACCATAATAGTTCTCACGTCCACCTCTAAGCTAGAATACTGTCCCCTAAATACCGTTAATATAATATAAATTCTCAATGTCTATAGAATGGGAATGATTTATCTCAGGAACAGTGAAACGCAAATCAATTGCTTATGGGTACAGGCTCTTTCAGGGGGTTTCCAATTCAAAAGGTTTTATTCATTGACTTCTGCATACCACCCTGCAACAATATCAGGGCTCCCTCTCTTTTTTTGTACGTCTGACTTTCCATCTTTATTTTTACCATCATGAAGAGCCGTCGGGTTTTGTTCACTACTAGACCCTGCCCTCTAGATACTACTGTATCCATTGCAGACAGCTCAGTCACACCCAAGGGTCTCAAAGATAACAGTTCATATATTAAGAGATGCAACAGCGTATGTGATAATAGCATTGCAATGCTGAGGATTTTATACTCCTTTGCTAAAAACATGGCAGGGTTTTGTGGCACCACCCGCCTTATAGAAGGGAGATTTTGCTGAAACAGAGGCCATATGGTCTATGGCAGGGGTGGGCAAGCTCTGGCCCTCTCGGTTTTGTGGAACCGCAAGTTGCATGAGGCAATGCAAGACTCTTGACAGCCACCGGCATGACTCCAGAGGCAGAAGCATGGTGGGATCTGTAGTTACACCACAGCTGGAGTTTGCCTACCCCGACCTATGGAATCTTATGAAAAATATTGTATCAAAATGATGACAGGAGTGCATTTAGCATTGCAACCTCCCAGCAAGATAGGGCATTGCGCTATGAATGTCATACTGCTTTCTGCAAGAGCCTGTACCCGATAAGACAACAAGCCTTCTTTCAAATCTTCATTCAGCATTACAAATTATACGCTAAGCTTTGCTATACATATAAAAAATAACATGTTATCTCCTCGTTAGTAACACATAAACCAGCCCTCTTCCACACGCTGCATCGAATCTTTCATACTGAACACCCTTTCACGGCTAGACAGAAGGACAAAGCACCCAACTATCCAGCCAAAGGGGCGACACGGGGTGTTTCCTCTGGCACGCTGCTTTAACCCTGTGCACCCCGACCACCCGCTTCTGACCTGTGCACACAAGGAGTCCTATAAGCCTAAGGCACTCAGTGGGACCTGTTGATGCTCTCTGGGGTGGCCCTTGTACAGTACACACAATGGGGGGGGTCACAGGGTTACAGCAGTTACAAAAGTGCCATTTTTACATCACGTTAAATAAAGAACGAGTTCTTTGTTTAACCCACACACAAACGCAAAGGAACAAAAAAAAAAAAAATTAAGACGC